TTACAATTACATGGGCAGGATAATGAGTACATTTCTTACCAAGCATTGCAGCCTCCTCCTTTGTTTACCCTTCACATCCCTTCCCAGCCTCCCCCCTCCCTGATTTGGTTTCTAATTGGTGATTTGAAGTTAGTTTAGTGTTTCTTTTCTGTAAAATGTGACTAATGTAACCTCATTCATAGGAATATTGTATAGTTTATAAAAAATTAAAAATTAGATAAAATTCATCTAAGTTGTTTTTTTGAAATTTAAATTTTAATGTGCTATGTCCTGTTGAAATACTGTTATTTCCAGATTATTGAGATTTTAAAAGAATGCACTAAGTCATTGTGTCTTTGGAAATGTTCATAGGAACCAATGATGCCAATGGATCAGTCATCCATGCACTCAGACCATGCACAGACAGGTAAGAACCCGGCAGGGATGAGCCAACTGTTGCTCATTACAAAGTGATTTTAGAGGGCTCTCTTACCCAAGTTGAAAAATATTTTCTTCCCTAATAAAAGTAGGTAAACATATTTTGTGTTAAATTAGTGAAAATATTCTAATATATTTGTCATTTCAAAAAGACACTTACATAAACTTTTTATTTTCACATACCTTCTTTTTTTAGATCCTTTTAAGTTAAGCAAATCTAGTTTCTTTTGTACAATGAAAAAACAGAAAGCTGATTTGGGGGCCATATTAACTGTTTGAGTAACCTGTTGTTTATTCACAGCCTTATTATGAGAAGTAGAAATCATGTGAAAGATAAAGAAATACAGTATAGGAAATTCTAAACATATGTAAGTAAGTAAAAAAATTAATAGTAACAAAACCTTAAGCATGTATTTGGAAAACAAATTTCTCGATCCATCTGAATCAAGAAAGGAGACCAAAGCCGGGCGCCAGTGGCTCACGCCTGTAATCCTAGCTACTCAGGAGACTGTGATCTGGAGATCACAGTTCAAAGCCAGCCGGGCAGGAAAATCCGTGAGACTCTTATCTCCAGTAAACCACTAGAAAACCGGAAGTGGCACTGTGGCTCAAGTGGTAGAGCACTTGCCTTGAACTGAAGAGTGCAGGGACAGCGTCCCAAGCCGAGTTCAAGCCCTATGACCGACAAAAAAACAAAAACAAAAAAAGGAAGAAAGTAGACAGAATATTGTCTCTTGGTAATGGAAGAAGCTTGAAAAGCCCAAAGCTCTGGAATGCAGGCCCCCTTCCCCTCCCCGCCCCTGCCCAAGTAGCTTTTTGGAGTAGAGCCATATCCTCTTAATTTTCAATCATTTGGAAGACCAAGAGGATAAGGAGTGAAAATTACAGGACCTCCATCTTTTTTTTTTTTTTTTAGGACCTCCATCTTATACCTCAGGCATTCTAAATAAATAGGACTTCAAGAATTGGTCTTATGGAGGAAATTGTTTGATTTATAATAAGAGCAATGTTTGAAAAAC